ATATATCTATAACATGATGTAAAACGAATATATAAAATTTGAACATAATCAGTCAAGGCATATCAGAGATATGGCACTAGAACTGCCAGTCAGCCATTTTGAATCCGATCTGAAAAATAAAATGACATGCATCAGGAACCCAACATCTTTAATGTATGTACAATGTAACAAGTTAGAACAAAATCCATCCATAAACGCCAAGATCCAGATCCAGTTCTGGAATGCCAGAAATGCTTAATTTTTGATGATTTTTTAGCACATTACCAATATTGTCCAACGTATATACCAAGTTTGAACATAATCGATCCAGTTCTGGAATGCCAGAAATACTTGATTTTTGATGATTTTTTTAGCACAAAAATGGCTGCCATTTGGCCATTTTGAATCAATATATCTATGTCATGATGTATAATGAATATATAAAATTTATCATAATCAGTCAACGCATGGTAGAGATATGGCACTAGAACTGCATTCATTAAAACAAAATGGCTGCTCGTCGGCCATTTTAAATTGGATCTGAAAAATATAATGATGTGCATCAAGGTCCAATAATGTCCAACGTATGTACCAAGTTTGAACAAAATCCATCCATAAATGCTTTATTTTGATGATTTTTTATCACAAAAATGGCCACCATTTGACCATCTTGAATCAGATCGTGAAATAAATTGATGTGCATATGTATAATAATATGCATGATGTATGTGTGAAGTTTGAATCGTGATTGGTTCAGGCATGTCTAAGATACAGGTTTAGACGCACGCATACACGAACGCACAAAGTTAAAACATAAGTCCCTGTTTTCAGACTGCCTCCGAACATGGACTAATAAAATCACATACATCTACTAAACTTCTACTGACTACAACTACATACAAGTGATTGTCAGTTACAGTACCTCTCTTAGTAAATTTCTTGCTAAATGTTTTCTTCCAGTCTTCATCAACAGATTGGTAAATTTCCTGCACAAATAATACATAATAATATGTAATTACATTGCATAAGATACAAGTCAAGCAATTTATGAAAGTTGGAGTGATGATAAGGCGGCAAGTCAGATACATACATTAAATCCTGTTGCAATGTGAAATAGACTCTTCTCTCAGGTCAACAGTCTAAGGGGGTTGAGCATTAGAAATTTAGGCAGCGACAATGACCGAATTGGAAAAATTAGTTGCGCAGAAAAAAATCCTGCACGCCTAAATCTTAGAGTAAAAATATTAAAGCAAATTTATCATGGGAACAAAAAATTTGCACAAAACTACTTGTAAGTGAAAGAAATTGAATTCACCACTCTCACTTACGCTACGGTTGGGTCATAGAATACCGAAGAGCTCTCGTCATTTTTGGCTGCTCTGATCGGTATACTTGTATCATATGGTAAATCTTCACTTTTTTCGTAAACTTCTTTCGTCACGACTGGCGATACATAGTGCCTAGGATATCTGCTGAAACGTATTTGTTGTACTCTGGGAGAAAGGAAGGAGATAAAACATTCAATCAACAACAAATATTGGATTGCTGTCAGCTGTTATTGTAGTAACCTTTTGAAAAAATCTACTTTTGTAGTCTTTCACAAAATAAACCAACAAGATTTTGATGAAAGCCAGCAGCCAATAGACAACTATGTAAAAAAAATGAAAACAAATAAATAAAACTTGATGAGAGTTCCTTAAGTCCCCTCACTCATAACTCCTAACCATTCCCCTCCAGTGCTTCTCCCTCATTTCAATTGTATATACTCCTCTTCAGGTCACTTATACTTTATTTGGAGGGGCATATTGAATTACATTCGGGTGCTAGATTGTTAGGGCTAGGGATGAATTCTCAAGCATGCATCTGAACAACTTTCATGCTTTAGTAATCACTTTTCAGTGTTGCTATTGAATAGAAATTCAGCAACTTAGGCAGAGCTCCAGAAGGAGTACCTACACTTTATGCAATTTTTTTTTAAATTATGCTAATTTATTCATGACTTAGCAGTTTCTGTGCTCATGAATATTCATTAATTTGTGGGTCAATACATTTTAAAAGGGGCGATATATTATTTTTGGGGGAAGAGTTAGAAAGGGGGATTAGCAATCCTTAGGGGGTCAATACAAAAGAAGGGACCCATTTGGAGAGCAGCCTTGCTCCTCGTGTCTGTTGTTGCACGTGACTTACAGCTGTCAACTGTGTTCGTTCTTCCATGACTTCGACTGGCTTCCATGTGGGGTAGTATTCTTGTGTTCTGTTTTCCTGACTTGAGTTTTTGAATCCGCTGTTTATGTTTTTAACGTCTTTCATGTCTTTTGTAGGAGTGTCCAATCCGTGATTCGAACTTGCGATCTTTGAGTTCCCAGCGCACTGTCTTGTCCACTGTACCACGAGTGTCTTCACACAGGAGTTAGGATTTAAGTCCTATTCATAGGAGCACTGTCTTCACTAGCATTCAAAAATCTAACTAATCATACTGGATTCGAACCAGCGATCGCTCACATTGCTGACATAGTACAAATCAACTGAGCTATTGTGGGTTGTCATGCAAATTAA